CTAGCCTCGAAGTTTTCTTACAAGGCAAGGCCATAGCTCCAGGCCCGTTTTTCACGCCCCTAGACGCGGGAAGGCTGACCGGAGGGAGAATAATGCCATACTCATCGTATTCTATCCTATCACCACTCGTATGTTGTCCTCTAGTCCTCAATCCCTCGACTAAACGGAGCCACCCGGCGCTGGTGCTCCCCCCCCCCAAACGGCCGCACTCCACAACGGCGCGGAACCTTGCTGTCGCTCACCCGGCTCCGCGCGCGCGTTTATGACGGCCAGCCAGCAAGCCCGCCCCGCCAGCCGAGGCCAGTCAATGAGACGATAGCCATCAGAGCCAGTGGCCAGCCTTCTCGCCCCTCTCTGGGCGCCCCGCGATATCTGTGGCTGAACATCAGCTTGACCGGCCTGTCTCACGCTCCGCTGCAGGTCGGCTCTCTCCTAAGCCCTCTCAGATCACACCCCCTACCCATCACCTCTACGGTTCTCTCAACTCCGATCCGCGTCTCTCACCCGACGCATCGCCTGCCTCCAGACTAACGTCAAGGCCCATCGGTGACCCCTGCCCCTGTCCCTGCTTCTTGACCTCACCAGATCGAGGTTCTTCAAGCGAGAAGCAGCCGATCCCCCGTCGAATCAGGGCGGCATCCGCTTGCCTGCTTGGCTGTATGCTTGGCAGCCAGCCAGTCTGTCCAGTCGGCATGGTCCCCCCTTCACGCAGCACTCCACACATCTGCCCAAGCCGGGCCTGCTCTCTTGCTGGCTCTCGCTCCTCCCACTACCAACTGACATACGCCATCCGAGCGCCTCCCCCGGTCTCCTCCCCCGTCGCTTTGCCATCGTGCTCTGCCGTGACGAAATCCCATGCCCGCCATACCAAGAGGGAGGGGGTGGACCCTGACGCAGCGAAGAAAAGCGGCCCTGGAAGAGAAGCGAAGTGACCGGTCGATACGACCATGCGCAGTTCCTGCATCTCCCCCCTTGTGCTCCCACGCGCATGACACCCTCCCCCCCCCCCCTTCTTCCCAGTAAGCCAAGTTGTGACAGTGACAGGCGCAGCCAAGCCGGCGTGCAGGATGCTTGAGTTTTCCCCCACGCACGCGCGAAAGAGAGAGTGTGTGTGTAAGAGCGAGAGAGAGGAGTGATCACCCCCTCCATGTCCGTCAGCCTTCAGTCCAGTCCAGTCCAGTCCCCCCTTCAGGCGCATCACAAGGAGGTGACATCGACACGGCGTCGAAAAGAAACAAAGAACCATGTCTCACAAGAAGAAGTCGGGGGGGACAGAGGGATGGAGGGCTGTGGAAAAAGGTCTACCCACACTTCATCAGCAGCCCATGGTTGCATACTTGCAAAGAGAGAAAGAATCGAAGAAGAAGAAGGAAAGGAAACAAGGGAGGGGGGGGGGGTATCCCAGCGGCAACGCAGAATGACACGAAGAGCTTCTCGTTCCGTTTCCTCTCCTTCGCGTTCCTCTCCCTCGGGTTCCTCACCTTCGGGCATGCCGCCGCTCATCCCCCGCTTCC